AGGATCTTGCAAACTGGTACAGACCAGCTCTGGGACACACTGTGCCTGTCTCCAGCCCACGTGTATTGATCTGTTAGTCACGGGGAGTCTATTCTTTTAAAACGAGTTTATCATTTCTTGTCTGTCTCCCCTGGTGAAATGTAAACTGTGTGAGGGCAGGCATTTTTCCTGCCTTGTGCATAGTCTTATCTCCCACATCTAGAACAACGCCCGGTGCACAGTAAAACCAGTTGCCAGGGTGACCCCATAGGCCTCTGTGTTCCGTGGACTTTTCAACGTCCGTGGAATTCAATGAAGTGGATGACCAGACCTTTTTCCCAAGGCATCTCTGGGTAGATTTGAAACTGCAGCCTTTCAAAGCCCAATCAGTAGGACAGTGTCTGGTGCGTGGTGAGAATAAGAAAGAACGGGCACCATAACACACAACTTTCATGTAAATTAGAAACAGCACAATGCAACATGTTTTCCGAGGGACACAGGCTATTTGAGGGCACACAAGTCAGTGCCTGTGGCGAGGGAGGGGAAATGAGTCAGGGAGGAAGGGTAGAAATCACAAAACCAGAGCAGGCCTTTGCCAGAACTTGAACTCAAAACTGTGCTTAACTCAACTCGCCTCAGCCGCCATCTGAGGGGGCTGGTGTGGAAGCACCCAGAGCAACCCCGGCTCTACTTCCGTCATGTTGCCCAGGAAACCGGGCAGGTTCTCGTCTCCTTTCTGTGGATCTCAGAAGCCCTGCTCACAGGACCCAGAGAGGAGGCTCAGAGAGGGGCAGCCCTGCTGAAAGTCACACAGCAAGCCTGGGGCTCCCCCTTCTGAGCCTGTGGGTCCGGTGGGTGGTGGAGGAGGCCTAACCCCAGTCAGCCATGTGTGAGACCGGTCTGCAGCTCCTGACTGGCCCGGTGGGGCCACTGTGGACATGTTTGCTGAAGGAATGAAGCGAATGAATGAATGAAGTTTGGGATTATTCAATTTATTATGAGGATGGTCGGCTTTGTGGCGTGATGCCAGCCCAGACCCCTGCCCTCTGTGGATCCGGCGTCTTGGGGGGTGGGGCGGAGAGGTGGGAGAGGGAACTTGAAGGAACTTATCTGAGAAGTGGGAGTTAGGACCCTGTGTGGACCAGGAGGGTAGGGCCTGACTCCTCAGGGAAGAGGGTCTGGGGGCCTGGATTCCTGGGTCCGAGAGCGGAGGGTGTGTGTGTGGGGAACACCAGACGCAGCCGGCGGCCACCGGCGAGGTCACAGGGATGATGCCTTGCCCCGCATGGTTTCCTGGATCCAGTTTCGGTACCGGCACAGGTTGGTGTAGACCCCGGGGTAGCCAGGCAGGGCACAGCGTTCCATCCCCCAGGACACGACGCCTTGGAGCTGGCCTCTGCACACCAGGGGTCCCCCAGAGTCACCCTGAGGGGGAGGGACAGACATGGAGACACCGTGACAGACGGCCAGAGCCGCGGGCATGGAGAAGTGGAGAGGCAGAGACAGGGGAGAGGACCGAGACCCCAGGCAGGACCTCCAGAGACCGTCCTGCTCAACGCAGACATGGAGGGACCCGGGCTGAGACCTCCTCTCTCAGACCCAGAGTCGCAGCCTTCAGGGGGTACCCGGCTCAACACAGATCACAGCCTGGGGATGGGCGTGGGGTCATCCATTCCTTCCCCACTGGTTCCTGCTTAGTCTCTGTGTCTCCCTGTCTCTGTGCCTGTCTCTCACCTGGGGTCTCTCTGGGCCCCTCTTCATCTGACTGTATCTCTAGAAAGCTCTCTTTTTATATTTTCCTATCTCTACCTCTTTTAGGGCTGCATTAAGATTTTTAAAGACCTTGAGCCCAGTTTTCCACACAGCTACCTACTCTGCCCAAGTCCAGTCTGACCCACAGCGCCCCTAGAGGACAGAGTGGAACTGCCCACAGGGTTTTCAAGGCTGTCATCTTTACCGAAGCAGACTGCCACATCTTTTCCCCGTGGAGCACCTGCTGGGTTTGAACTGCCATCCTTTTGGGTTGCAGCCAATCACTTTAACCCCTGCGCCACCCGGGCTCCTTGTCTTCCATATCCCCACATGTGATAATGACACGGCCATAGCTTCACCAGGGACACTAACAGGTGCTCTCCCCACTTGACAGATGAGAAGCTGAGGCCTGCAGGGGTGTAGGCCCATTACCTAAGCTTGCACGGCTAGGAAACTGCCTACACTGGCTTTCACCATCTGTCTCTGGTGGCTTAGTGGATAAGGCATTTGGCTGCTAACCAGACGGTCAGCAGTTCAAACCCAACAGCTGCTCCACGAAAGAAAGATGGGGTTTTAGGTCTCAGTCCCTGAGCTTTGCCTGACTTCCATATTCCTTAGACCCTTTGGTGTCCAAGTCCCGAACAATACCCCTTGCGGAGCTTCTACCCTGAGCCTCACCTGACAGGAGTCCTTGCCGCCCTCGGGGACCCCCGCACAGATCATGCCCTGAGTGATGGCTCCAGGATAGGCCTTCCGGCACGCTTCATCGGAGGAGACGTGGATGTTCACACACTGCAGGGAGTCGGGGTACCTGGCTGGAAGGGCACTGACAGGTTATGACTGGGTGTACTCTCCGACAGGACCCCGGAGTCTGGGCCCCAAAACCCTTCCTCCCTCAGACCCAGGAGTCTAATGTCCTCACCCCACCAGCTCAGACCCAGGAATCAAACCTCCCAACCCGCCTCCATCAGACCCGGGGGTCCCGGCTCCTCCTCCCTCAGACCCGGGAGACCAGGCCCCTCCTCCCTCAGACCCGGGGGTCCAGGCCCCTCCTCCCCCAGACCCGGGGGTCCCGGCCCCTCCCCCCTCAGACCCGGGAGACGCGGCCCCTCCTCCCCCAGACCCGGGAGACGCGGCCCCTCCTCCCTCAGACCCGGGGGACCCGGCCCCTCCTCCCCCAGACCAGGCCCCTCCTCCCCCAGACCAGGCCCCTCCTCCTTCAGACCAGGCCCCTCCTCCCTCAGCCCCGGGAGACCCGGCCCCTCCTCCCCCAGACCCGGGAGACTAGGCCCCTCCTCCCCCAGACCCGGGGGTCCCGGCCCCTCCTCCCTCAGACCCGGGGGTCCCGGCCCCTCCTCCCTCAGACCCGGGAGACTAGGCCCCTCCTCCCCCA